ACCTAAATAAAATAATGTAACAATGTTTAAAAAATTGACAACGGAAAGGAAAGATGGTATTGTCAAAAAAGCAAAGTCCTGAGAATCAGGAGACCTTGGGAACATCACATGCCTCAGTTTCCTAAGCTATAAAGTGGGGATAATATTTATCAGCCTCTTAGTACGGTTGTGAAGCTTATTTCATTTATATGTGGAAAAAAATTGGAGTCCTTGGATGGAAGGTGTTACAGAACAGCAAAGAATTATAATTAATTTCTGTTAGGTGCTGGTTGACTTAGAATATGATCCAAAGGAATTGACACACCCCTATTTTGTAGCCATTACAACACAAGCATGGTTACATTGTCAGTAAGAGAATCTCTAGAATTGTTTTTGTTCTTTTATATATATAACTATATGGGAAAATAAAGACAAAGACAAAAAAATCTTACAATCTTAAATTAAATTTACCAAAGCAAAGGACTTCATACATTTTCGCTCTCTTTGGCTCACCCTATTTCTAGATAAAACTATCACATCTGTTATAATATGTACAGAAAAGGTTACCCATGGTCCTCAGAGTCTTGTAGTCTAAGTTGGTGGTACAACGGGTGAGTTAAGGACAAATTGGCATCTTTAACTTGGCACGTTCTTGCTTTTGTCCAAATCATAGTTGGACTAGCATGATTTTAACTATGTGACATAATATTTACCTTTCAGAATGAGTGTGACTGTTTGTTCTCCAGAATACAGAGACACGGGGTATTGAATATTACACTGGAAAGACTTTGCAAAGAAACATTAGAAAACTTTTTTTTTTCCTGTTTGTTCCTTTAAAAAGACTAAATCTGCTGCCAAGGAATAACTAAGGCATCAATCCTATTGTGCTCCTTTGCTCCTAATACAAAGACAAGCAAGAGTAAGTTCAGCCTCAGTCTTAGCCATTGTCACACTGATTTATGACACACAGTCTTGCAACATGACATACTGTCCACTAGAGATTTGGCACAAACCAAATTTCTTTCCTTAAAAATACTGCCCAAACTAATTTAACTTCTTTTCCTGAGGTAAAATGATAATACTTTTTCTATTGGGCAACTTGACCTTCTACGTCTGGCTTTCCATTTAGTGGCATTTCAGAATAAAACAATCTCAGTACATTTCCTACTCTGTTACTGCATTTTCTAGTGCATGGTCATAAATGATATAGGGTTTTTTTCTTTCAAAAAAGCCAACACAGAATTTCAATCAGAAGATGCCATTACCGGCACATTTTCAATCCAACATATAGAGAATTAAATATACAACTTCCTTTTACAACAACAAAAACTCTTGGAATGCACATTTAATTAAAGACTTTATAGTGATTTTAATAGATGGAGAAATGCAATCTGGTCAGTAGGGCAAGAGGTTGCCAGTTAGTACCTTTAGGTTCTATTCCTGGCTCGTCTACTAGTTCCCTGTGTAACACTGGGCCAATCTGTGCCTCTGTCTAGTCCTTTGTAAGGTGAAGATAGTAATTACTGTGAAGTAGATGAGTGTTATGAGACATAACTAAGGTTTGTAAAGTCCCTTCAGATGCTCAGCTAAAAGGCACTACAGAGCTTGAAAGTTAACGGGTATAATTATAGGGAAGTGTGAAAAAACTGCATATAGTATAAAGTGAAACAAGTGTACTTTCCAAGAACTTGCTGAGCTAGGCAATTTTGCATGGAAAATTAGTTCTCATGAATGAAAATGGTCCTATGCAATACCCCTATTCAATAGAAAACGGTTACACTCCCTGCTTTGAGAAAATGTGAAAGCAAACCTACACCAAGAACATTGTACCACCCCATCAGATTTACCAGTTTCCAAGCAGACTGCAGAATTATGAAAATCAAGTCAGAATTATGAAAAAGGCAAAATCCTTGGTGGGAACTCTGGGTTCCCTCAGAAGTATCTTTATATCCTTGAATCCTTTCATTTGAAAATAGCTTATTGAAGCTGAATGCACAATTTGTGGCTGCTGGGAATTAAAGAGCCTTACACAGACCACTGTACAGACATATCCAACAGAGGATAAGTCTGCAGTCTTCATGGAAACTGGCAAATCTGATGGGGTGGTAACAGGTTCTCGATGTAGGTTTGCTTTCACATTTTCAAAAGGAAGGGGGAGTCTAACAGGCAGCCTACAAATGTCAGGCTTTGCTTTCTTTCTCCACTCAGGAAGTGGATGGTTATCCTGATGGAAAATAGATTGTATTCACTTCAAAAACTCATTTTAGTTTTAGAAAAAAAGTCTGCATGGAATACAGGCTTTTTCAGGTTTTTTTTCCACTGAGAATTTTTTCCACAGAGCTGTAGAAAAAAACCACACAAATAATTTTTTCTATATTATTAAAAATGACTAAAATTGGAAAAAATACTATCTGTACTATAAACCTATCTTTTTACGTTGGAAATAAGAGAAAAACATCTCTTTTTCTGTAGGAGAAATTGAGGTTAAGGGCAGGATTTAGGTATCTGAAACTGAATCTGACATGAAGAAAATCAAAGAAAGTACAATGGCAGAGTGGCTAAAAACACAAGGTTTCTTACCCTGGTTAAGCAAAGCCAGAACTTGCAGTTTTTATTTCTCCCATCTCAACAAGGTTCTCAGTGTAGCAATCTATCAATATCAATGACGGTTCTTTTACTTACTGGTCAGCAGTATACCGCAGTCCATATATATTACATATAGTAGATAAAAGAAGCATATAAATATCTGCATAACGTTATTGTTATTGATACAATAGTTTTACAGAGCACAGAAATGGCTCCATAGAACTCCAGTCCAATAAAAATGTAAGATCCACCTAATTGTGCCTTTGGAAAGGAGTCGCGGAAGGGTGCAACCAGCACAAATCTGGTTTACAGTTCTGCTAGAGCAGAACTGATTGCAGAAGCCAGACAGGTTGTACTGCAGTGAGTGCTTTACTACAGATATTTTTGACATAGTTAAAGACCCTAATCATGCACTTACCTGAAGAAAAGAGTAAGCCTGAAATTGACCCCAATTGCATGGGACACAGTCAAAATTAAGAGCATAAACATGAAATCTATCTACTAGTCACAATCAACCAGTGGACAGACAGATACATGCAAGAGGTTTTAACCCAGGTCTTGCAAATAAGGATTTGTATACAGGATGATTGCAGAAAAAGAGGAAAATGTTGCAGTGCTCTCTGTCTGCTTCTCAAATCCTTCATTGTGCATGAAAGTCATTGTTTCCTGAGAATGCCTGATTATACATAAGTATGCACCTTGTTCCATATGTTGACCTGAGATAAGACATGACATCTTGCTCCATTATAGTTACGATTCTTACAATGACAGTTATATATCAAAGGGACTTCTGCAGTAAGAGCAAGACTGCAGACAATAGGATGTGGTAATATCTATTATTTAAGGTTGCTCATTCCTTTATCTCTTAGAGGTTGCTTTCAGAAACTGACAACTTTGGCATATTTTCATCTTTGGGGCTGAAATTTGACATATTTGTTGTTAGCCCAAAAACATTTTTTTCTAAATGTTTTCTAAAAGTTTTTTGAAAACTTTAGAAAAACAGTTCTATCATTTTCTAGAATGACAAGAGGATATAAAAATTCAAGCTGCCTTAACTTTGGCATATTCAAACTTCTGATCGCTCTGCTTCAAAACTAACATTTTCTTCATGTAGGTTTTTTCTTTTTTTGTATAGGATATATTTCAGAAGAAGCAGATCTGTTGTAAAGTGTAAGGGTAGTTGTACTTCTCATATTCCAATGTATCCATTGTCTTTTCTGGAGTGAACACTTAAAAATGTCAGTGAGGATAACATGTTCATTTTAAATCAAGGCAAAATATAAATTTTAACTGCCAGAATATTTTCCTACTATATTTGGATCTAGTAAGACTACCAATTCCTGCAAAGAATATGTAGTAAAATATACACAAGAAACGTTAAAGAATGCAGGAAATAAAATATTTGCTGTTATTTGTTCTCAGCAGGGAAAATCAACTTGCCAACAATATATTTCTGAGCAATCAACAAAGAGATGATCCTTAGAATTCATGAGTCTTTAAAATAAGATGCATTTTTGTAGTAATCCCAAAAACGTATAAAAATATTCAAGCTATATACCCCCTCTAGCTCGTATTTAACCTTCCATCATGTAGAACTACATATTGAACAGCTTAGCAATTGCATGCTGTGTTGTATATTTAAATAAGGGCCAAAAAGGTACAAATGTAAATGTTATGCAACTTCTAACACGCACAGCATAGCAGAGAATATCTGGCATAATCCATATCATCTGTTTATAAAAAAATGATATTGAACTTTTACATATTGTGTCCATTTAGTGTTGAAGGTATTGCAAAAACAATTTCTAGCACTTTGGATCCTAAAATCAAAGTGATACAGTATATCACATAAGTTTGTGTTAAAACACTGGCTGTAAATTTCTTTAAAATGCCACAATTAATCAACTGATTTCACAGGGAAATATGTAGAGCAATTTAAATGATAAAATGCATAGATCAAATGATTAGATTAGAATACCTCACACACACAGCCCACAAGGATTTTGTTTTTTAATCTAAGATGTATTAGAAAGTAACACAAAACCATAGCAGAAATCCATGAGGATCTGATTCATTCCACCAAATCTGTAATTCTCAGCTGGTTCCATGAATGAGAGGCAGAGACTTTTCACTGAATTAGTTTATTATAAGTATTAGAGAATTGGTTTACTATGAGACAGGTCTCCACACTTAGAAAAAACAAACTACTATGGCACAGACAGATGGTTAGAAGTTATGGCACAGACTAATGGCCGATATCATGAGCTGCTGAATGCTTCCTGTAAGGTGCAGTGTCTCCTCAGGTCCTATAAGATTTAGTGGTACCCAATAACTTGAAGGGGCACAAAACATGTCATGGGATCAGATGCTAAAATCCCTCCCTCTCCCCTAAAACTTTGGAACCCAAGTTTCTTCTGCAATCTCCAATGAGAAACCTGAGCCTAGAGACCTGGTCAAAATATTCTGGAATAAAATCAGGGGAATATCAAGCAGGGAGTAGGAAGGTGATATCACCTCTGTATAAAATATTAGTGACACCATTACTGGACTATTACATCAGTTCGGGTGTGTACGCTTTTAAAATGATGTTGAAAAATTGGAAGACACTGAAGAAAGCGATACAAGAACCTTGTATTTAATATGATATGAAAAACATTCCTTATAATAAGAGAGTTAAGAAGATTAATCTGTTTCGGTTATTGAAGAAAAAGTTAAGAGGCAAGTTGATCAAAGTCTATCAGTAACTACATGGAGAGAAGTTATCAGATGGCTCTTTAAACTAGCAGACAAAGGCATAAAAGTATCTCAGGGCTAGAAGTAGAAGCTAGGAAAACAGATCTCTAAAAATAATTGTAAATGAGAAATCTTCATCCAATAGGGGTGTTCCTACAGGGGTCAAACAGGAAATTGTTCTGGCCCAATACTATTCAATATCTTTATCAGTGATCTGAAAAACAATATAAAATCATTGCTGGTAAAGTTTGCATATGACAAAAAATGGGTAGAGTGGTAAATAATAAAATCAGGTCAGATCTACAGAGGGACCTGGATTGGTTGGTAAACAGGCCTCACTTGAACAACATACATTTTAACACAGCTAAATGTAAGCTAGGAACAGAAAATGTAGATCAGATTTATAGGGACTGTATAGAGCTCACTGCAAACATGTTGACAGGGTTTTTTTGGTCAAAATTTTCTGATTCATCAAAATGGAAGCATTCTATGAGGAAACGTCAATTTCAATGAAATTATGATGAAAACCAAGCAGGTTTCCTGCCAACTTGCCTACCCAGCTCCTTAGCAATCCATGTGGTGGGCTTCTAGGAAGCCAGCGTTTCCAGGCTCAAGACTGCTCGGTAGCTTGGGCTTCCATTCCATTCCTCAGATAATTTTGGTATTTTGGAATATCTGAATTAAACCAAATTTTGAAAAGTGAAAAACCTCTGCAAAATGAATTACAATTCTGTGCCCAGCTCTAGGGCTTGATTTTGAAAAGCAATGACTCAAAAGAGGACTTGGTGGATAATCAACTGAACATGAGCACCCAATGTGATGCTGTGGCTAAGACAGTTGTGATCTTTGGATGTATAAACAGGAGAATATTGAACAGAAGTACACGGCATCAGAGAGATCATTACTGCAATATTGCTTATAGTTTGTGTGCCCACACTTCAAAAATGACAGATTGGAAAGAGTTTGGAAAAGGGTTACAAGAATGATCTAATGATTAAAAATGTTTAATCTATATACCTAATATAAAAGAAGGGTTAAGAGTTGTCTTGATCACAGTGAAAGTTTCTACATAGGGAGAAAATTTCTGTGTAGTGGCCTCTTTAATTTAGCAGACAAAGGTATAACAAGAGCCAATGACTGGAAACTGAAGTTTGACAAATCTAGATTAGAACATTGGAGTAACTTTCTTAGGGATGAGATGGCTTCTTCAGATTTTACAGTCATTAAATCAAGATTAGAGGTTAAATCCTGGCTCCATTGAAGTCAATGACTTCAATGGGACCAGGATTTCATCCTTGATGTGTTTCTAAAAGTTATGCTCCAGCTCATCGCAAGTTATTTGACTTGATTCAGGAATTACTGGGTGAAGTTCTACAGCTAGCATTATAAATAAGATCAAACTAAATGATCACAATGGTCCCTTCTGGCCTTAAAATTTGTGAATGTATGAAATCCAAATGGTCTTCCCTACCATCAGTTGGGAAATACAAATCCTATTTTGGGACTAATCATGATAACCTAACCTAACCTCATGCCACCTTACAGGTGTGCCTATTATCCATGTGAAAACTAGAGAATTTGATGCAGTTCTTCTGACATTAGAACCTTCCATTCATAGGCCTATTCCAACGCACAGAGAAGTCAGTGGGAGTCTTTCTAGTGAACCCAAAGGGCTATAGATCACATCTCATATGCCTAGATAAGGAGGCAAAAAAGCTCAGCTCCATTTAGATCACGAACAGTCATGTTTCTTGGCAAGGATTATACACCAGTGAATCCTCCAAAGTCAATAATTCTCAACTTTTGACTGTTTCTTTCCTTTAATGCCTTCTAAAAGGGGTTTGAAATTAGATAATCTAATAGGCAAGGACAGGGAAAACTTTATAAAAATATATTTATTTTTAATAGACATCATCTACTGTATCTTTGGGTGGCAAGAGTTCATATCTTTTCATTATGAAAGGAGCTTATTGTCGCAGTATGAGTTACTGTAGGATAACATTTTGCTTCTTTGGTGATCTGCCTGCTCTTTAAGGGAAAGCACTGAGGTATGGATATAATGAACCTTACCTGCATTCTCATATTATATTTCCTGAGAACCTATCACTACTGTTAGACTGCCACCTTTCTTTTTCAATGTATAGAAAGCAATAAAAAGATTTAAAAGGTTGTCTATATCTAGAAGGAGAAAAGGATAAATTGTGAATAACATTAAGCCACTTCGAATCCAGGCTTTCAAAACTGTCATACAGAATGCAGTTACTGCGGCCACAGTTGCAATTTAAATGAGTGGTTCCTCTAGCTGTGGGACCTGCAGGGTATTAGATAAAGAAAGACCTAAACAAATAACATTATTGCAAAGTTCCATCACATATATGTGTTTTTGTCCCTTTGCCAATTAATTTTGACAGACTGCACCTACTGAGATATGAGAGAAGGAAAAACTTTAAATAATACTTTACCAATTTGATTTAGGGTACAAGTGTGTAAAATCAATCAAAATAGTTATGAAAACACTATTAGTCTTGTTTCCACATATAACATTATTTAGGTAGCTGTTTCTAAAATGTTGACTTTTTTAAGGGTAATAATTCAGTCATGGTATTTTTTCCTATAACGCCATTCTTGGATATTAAACAGATGCAGATTAACAGTACAGGGCATTTCCATTCATTACAGCTTTAATCAATACTGTATTTTAGTAACACTCATGCGACAGTAATATTTTCAGTGAGGTGAAGATTTGTGTGTGCCTTCCATTCACTTCAATGGGCGCTACTGAATGCAACTTTGGCCCAAAGTGAGGTTACAAAGATGACTTTCAGAGTGAAAAATGAAGACAATGAAATCCTATGAACCTGATTTACAATTAAAATGAATTTAAACTCTAATATTTAAAAGGTAAATCTTGGCCTTACAACGAATGAGTAAATAGCAATTTGCTGGTGCAACATATGTATTTAACTTCTAAGCTCTTGGGGACAGGGACTGTCTTTTTGTTCTGTGTTTGTACAGCAGCCAGCACAATGGGGTCCTGGTCCACAACTGGGGCTCTGAGGGTTCTGCTGTGATACAAATAATAAAATAACAACAACAGTGGCAGTTGGGGCAGAATTCTCAGTCACATGCAAATCGGGATACCCCAGACAAATGGCCTAGGAATGCTATTACAGGGCCTGGATATGGACAAGAGTAATGGATGTGGTTTGTCGCTCTTCTCCACCCACACAGGTGTGTGGTCCATTGTATATGCACTCTGTATAGATCCACCATGCCGCTGCCAGAGATACATCTAACCCCTAGTGCAGAAATGTGCCAGGATGTGCTTCTCCTTGCTCTTTAGAGGGGTACAGCGTGCAAATCGGGATCTGAATTCGTGTTGGATATGATGGGCTCAAGAGTGTGAAATTCCAGGGAATTATGTCAGGTACTGTATTTGACAGTACACAATTATAGTAAACTAAAGGACAGCAAAGGCACCTCTTACAAGAGATTTGTATTAACCTTGCCTTCTTAATTAGATGGCTGCCTCCAGGGGTGAGATAGAGTAAAGGTGAACATTTACAAATACCTGACATGAAAATTAAGGGAGAATTTATAGTGATGCTGAATGATTTTGTTGTGGTTCTCTTTGGAAACAAATAAAAAATAAGAGATGTATTACTTATATATTATGATGTCAGCTTTAATAGACAATCTCCTTTCACTGTATTAAATTACCATCTTATCTGAAGAAATGTTTTCCTCCTAATTTTCCATCCGAAATAGTTTAGTGTTATACTTACATGCATTAGTGCACATTCCTGAAAATTATCTTGTAATTGTCTCATAGTAACTTTATAGTACCTTTAAAAAATAAATAGTAATAGTTTGCACAATTCTAACCAGTAAGATTTAATTAGCAAAAAAATGTTATCTTTTGAAATACTTAAAAACAATTAAAGAAGACCAATTTTTTAAATGATCAAGTCAGACATGATCAAAAACATTAACTTAAGGCATGGAAGATTTTTTTTAAATCATACTTTGGAGTTTTTCTTCGAAGGATATCAAAATGAAATTTGAGGAGCTACCTCAGTAACTACTTTATAGAAACCATAAACTCTATCCATAAGCTATTTGGTTGAGAACAGTACATATTTAATGGCTCCTTACACTACACTGATCAAAGCAAACATATTTGATAATATTTTATTGGCTACTTGATACACCTCACCTGATTCTTCAGATCCAGTGTTGGGCATGGACGACCTCCATTGTAAGGCTTTTCTTTAAGCCACTTGGATCGAATTTTCATTCCAGTTCCACAAGAAGAACTACAAGTGGCCCAACTAGACCAGTCACTTAGTTTGCAATCAAATGGACAAGGAATTACACAAGATTCTTCAATGTATCCTAAAACAAAAATTCAGGAAAGACATCTTAGTCAAAGCGATATGATATAAAGTGCAACTTTCTTTTCTTCACAAACTTCTCAGAGTAATGTAAGTAACAGTTTGAGAATCATCTAACTAGAAATACTCTATACTAGGACTAACTAGAAATGTTCTATAGGACAGAAGAAAGTGAGAAGATATTATAAGTGTTACAAATATTGAGGGGAGAATTACAAATAACTTCAGTTAACAATAACAGTTGTTACACTGGTATCAAGAGAAGAATCCGTGTATGGTGAAGATACTTTTCTTGACACTTAATTATGGCAGTATTGGCTAAAGCTAACAGTGGCTAGGATTTATTTTAAAAAATAACAAATCTCATGGAAGACATGATAAACTTGAATAATACTAAGGAGAACATGATAAGAAGAGAGTTCCACTGAAAATAAATAACTATTGGAAGTAACCGCTAGGTGGCAGTTGCGTACCCTAAAAGAGCCTGCGCAAAAATAAGTTAACTCTAGGGGACTGCATGAGCACCCTAGATCTAAACTTACATGGTGTTCTCTGTCTTTGGTGACTGGCATGGAACTAGCTGCCTCCATGTGTTCTTGCTTATTTTACTGCAAATTGTATTCTTCCTCTACTTTTATTCGCCCATTTTCACGTCTTTAGATGTTATTTTGGTTTAAACATGAGATTTGGTATGGGGGAGGGGCCACGATAGAATAGAACTGGCCACAACAATAGATCACTGGCTGCAAGATCAGCCACCATATCAGAAGGTCCACTCGTGATAACCGCAGAGAATGTAGTGATGGAAATGGTGACACTTCTGCTCTATCTCTGAGCCCTTTGATTTCCATACTTTCCCTTTAGTGTTTTCATCCTGCCTCCCCCCTCTGCACATTCTTTGCACTATAAAATATTGGATTTTCTTACTTTACTGATTGTGCTAGAGCTAATTTAATGTGGTCCTATTGGCAGGCATCCTGGGCCAATAACAGAGACCAAGACAGCCAAATGATCATGGAAACAGCTCATTTGTCCATTCAGAGACAAGTCTCTGTACTCTAGGGGGGAAAGGGACTGCCAATTATTGCAGAGGAATGCAAGAGAGTGAGTTTCTTGCACCCTCCCTGTCTTGCCTATATCTGGAACAGCCAGGCACAATTCGGTCTTAAGGAAATATTCATCTCCCAAAATAACTTTATTATAATGTATCAGAAAAACAATCCACTTGATTGTCAAATCTGAATCCTATGAAGCTAGCATGACACCAGCTGAAACACTATCTACACCAGGGGTTGGCAACCTTTCAGAAGTGGTGTGCCGAGTCTTCATTTATTTAAGGTTTCATGTGCCAGTTATACATTTTAATGTTTTTAGAAGGTCTCTTTCTATAAGTCTGTAATATATAACTAAACTATTGTTGTATGTAAAGTAAATAAGATTTTTAAAATGTTTGAGAAGCTTCATTTAAAATTAAGAGCCCTTCAGACCAGTGGCCAGGACCCAGGCAGCCACTGAAAATCAGCTTGCGTGCCACCTTCGGCACGTGTGCCATAGGTTGCCTACCCCGATCTACACTGTGAGCCAAAATGTACAAGCCAGAACCAGTATCTGCCATTCTGTAAGTCTGGAGAAGATGGAAATAAACACACAGGTCATCCTTAGGAGGTGCCTTTTAACCACTATCAGTAGCAAGGAACTGCCAGTGACACAGAGCAGCACTAACTCTGTACTGATGTGGGAGAAACAGCCCATATGAGAACACAACAGTATAAACGTAAACTGTCTCTGTTTAAAATGGATTTTATATTGAAGTTGCAAAGCAAACTTTCTGCTTTGAGATGGAAAACAAGTTGTGAACTCTCACACAGTAAAGGCCATGAACACCTTTACCCAGTTAACCAGTCCCTTAGTTTTTGTTTCTGAAAGAACTATGCTGACAGCTGTTATGAGATCTATTTGAATGTATTTTGAGAACTAGAGAAAGGACGTGTGTGAGAACAGTGGGTGAATGATTTATTAGGTAATTAATTATTTTTATGGATTGCTGAAGCCTATAGCAGCTGCTGAGGCCATTTGATATAATTTGGCTATTAATTCCAGAGGTGTAGACAGGACAACTTCCCCAAGACTTGCCTCATGTTTTTTCACTCTTTTGATGTTTTTGAGGCCCATATCATCTGTGGTTACAGCAATAGACAGTTGAAGGAAAGTGCTGGTTAAAGCGGAATTTTCAAAGCTAATCACAGGCTAGAACTTCATGACTTTGAGGAGACTGGACCAGGTTGTCAGGGTGAGATGTGTTTTCTGCCAAATTTGTTCAGGGACCTCTTGTGAGAGAGAACTTGAGGTGGGACAAGCTGAAATCACAGCTATAAAGACCAAAGTGAATGCAGTAGGTTGTATGTTCCTTTGTGTATTCCCCTTTGGAGTTTGATAGCTCCTGGAACACAGAACTTAGCCTATAGGGGTCCTCCCCCAGGACTATAGCAACCATGGCTCCAGAACCTCCAGATATAATTTCTCAGCCTGCTTAGGGTCTGGGTCAGGGTCAGGGTCAGGGTCAGGGTCAGAATAGACTGGAAACTCCTAGAAAAGCCAATGAGGAGCTTTGGAAGGAGTGATTTATAAAGATCCTTTGCTGGGCCAATGAGGAACCAGGACTGCTCAGTCCTTCAGTGGGAGGGAACAGGCTTCCTCGGAGACAAAGGGAATAGTTTTGGCTTCATTTTTGGATTGTTTGAGTTTGTAGCTGGGAGAGGAGCTGCACAGCCTGGGCTCCCACTACCTACACAAAGGGGGACTTCGAGCTATTGTGAGATCTAGCATATGATTGGGGAGTGCCAGCCCTGTGGAGTCTAGTGATAAATGGTGGCAGAGAACCAACCCAGTTCCAGCTACCTAGAGCCAGTTGAGACCTCCACATAGTCCCTGAGGGCATCACCTGTGACAGTCTGGTTCTTCCTGAGAGGTCTTTCACTATTCTGTAGAGTTGCTTGAAGGCTCCAATTTGTGCTACTGCTTCTGCAACAGCAGCCTTCTCTTTGAACCCAGGGATTTCTATCTTGCCTGTATCTCTTCTGTCCTTTTTCTCTATATCTTACATCTACCTCTGAAAGTGTTGCCTGTGTCTTGAATTGTTCCTTTTTTGCCTTGAGATCTCTCCTTTCACCAATCGCTGCCCATGGTCCAGATGTAATCCAGTCATCTTTGTTCTGCCCTCTTTGTTGGCCCACTACTTCCTCTGCTAAAGAGACTAGAGTCTTCTTCCAGACTTTCATCAGCCTGGTCCTGTAAAACACTGGAAAGGCTGCTAAATGGCAGTCTGGAATCTGATCTGCTTTCCTTTGTCCTGGAACTGCTCTATTGCTATAATACTCTTTTTGTCTGCCTTTGGGATCTTTTAAAATCTGAGTTGTAATGTTGTAACTAAAAGATAATGATCTGAGCCAACATCCACTTCACTGCCGACTCTGATATCTCTCAAAGGAGATGCCAATCTCTTAGATGTGCTCACATGATCTATCTGGTTGACAGTCACATCTGGTGATCTCCATGGGGGCTTGTGAATCCTCTTGTGCTGGAAGAGACTTAGCAACCTGGATAGGTTCCCTTTGGTTCTCACACTAACCATGTGCTCCTCAGCAGCCCTCCCCTCTTCATTCCTTATGAGGTACCTGACTTTTAAGTTTTCACCTGAACTTACATACTGAGTTTTTATTAATTTCAGATTCTGCCTTCCTCAGAAGGGAGCTTTTCAGAATTAGAATTCTTGTTTCTGCTTTTTGGTCAGCATAAAACTATTATATTATTAATATCACAGTTAATATCATAGGCTAGCACTCTAACCACTGAATCACCCTCTTTTTCCTGGTCAGAAAATGGAAAACAGTTCCAAGAACAGTTTCACAGATTTTTCTTCTTTTTTTAATAAAAATGTTTTTCAGTGGAAATATTCCACTCAGCTCTAGTAGTGTAAAGCCAATGCATACAGCAAATATCGTATTCAAAGGATCTCACCGTAGACTTGATTATGCCAAAGTTTTTAACAAGAAGGATGTCCCCATTCAACATCAGGGTGACAGTCACAGCAGTTGAAGGCTAGAGCTAGACTTTCTCCAAAAGCCCCCGTGGATAGACTAAGCCCAGCTCCCCTGAATCGGAGCAGGTGAGCCCAATCCAACTAATTAAAGAGGGCTGGGCTACACCTGGCAGCTGGAGGGAGGAAGCACTAAGATAGGCTGAGCCCTGGGAGGGAAATCCACACTGACATGGAGTTAGCTCCTGTGGTGGGTCCCTGGTGCAATGAGCCAGAGTCTCAGGGAAGTAGCCCTGGGGTTGCTGCTCCAGGAAGAGAGTACAGCTGATTGCCAGAGATCTCTGGGAGGGGTGGCCTGAAGCCTGGGGCCAAGGACAGAGTTCAGACTATTTTCTGCATATTTGTTAACCTATGTTAAGAGACTTGTATCTGAAGAAGTGAGGTTCTTACCCATGAAAGCTTATGCTCCCAATATTTCTGTTAGTCTTAAAGGTGCCACAGGACCCTCTGTTGCTCTATTAAGAGAGTAAACCTCTTTGCTGAGGACTGAGTGTGGCAGCATATGCTTTGGGGCCAGGGAGAAGCTTGGCCCTATGATACCATCAATCACTGCTTCTGAATACTCTACATCTGTCACTGCTGAGCTATGCAAGGTGCCCCACGCCAAAGGTTGAACCTGCTGATTTTGCAGTGTTCCAATAATAGTAGTTCGACTTCCTTTCATTGAAATGTCCTTTTTTTTTTAAACTGGAGGCAGACAATAAGGGTGACAGCTGCAGTAATTTTTCTGCAATTGCTCCTACTGTAACTCTTTGCACGACTGTTCCACTTAAAACATACTCTATTTTAGTTTGTTACAGTCTGATCTATAGTTTTATATTGGCTTGTGTTAAGCAGCCTTTTTCATTTATTATTCCAAAGCCATCTGAATTAGTCGTTTTTCATCATTTGCTATGTGCTACTCT